TTGTCAAAGATGCTACCTTAGTATATGGGCAGGAAATAGTCACCTACAATGTTCATTCAATTCAGCATTTGCCTGATGATGTCTTGCTTCATGGGCCATTGGAAGCATTCAGTGCATTCTGCTTTGAATCATTTTTATTCAAGATTAAGAGACTGCTGCAGTCACAACATCTTCCACTGGAGCAAGCAGTCATGCGACTGATGGAACTTTCTGGACCTCCCTATTGCAATGTCCTAGGTGCTGATAACTATATCAGGTATCAGAAGACATGTAGAGGTCATGAAAAATTGTGCTATGGAGGATTTGAATTAAGAACATCTTCTGGAAACAATATCTGTCAGCTTATTAATGGCACACTCCTGAAGGTAGAGGGCTTTGTGGAAAATTCTTCAGGATCTCTTTGGATTAGGGGCAGGAAGATGACACTAACACGCCCTCTGTACACATCTCCCTTGTCCTCTTTTGATGCTGGGGTTGGCTATGTCAGCAAACCTCATGCTGATTTGAAGTTGTATCCTGCCCCCTGGGTGGCCAGGAAGATAGTTCTTCTGCCTTCTTTCCATCCACGGGGCATGGTGGCATTTCCCATGACTGCATGATGCTGGTATGAATGGGCATTTCGGGAGTTGCCCAATTATAAGATATTTCATTCTGCATTATAAGTCTTAGGTCATATTGAGTATACATTTGGCAGCTTTATGTCTGCAGTGCTGGCTGAATTCATGATATTCTTAATGTTATCCCCTAAGTATTCTTAATATTATTCACTAAATGGAGACTACATTCTCTGCTATTTGTAGGTTCCTACAAAAAGCATCCAATTAGTGTGACTCATAGAAGAGGCACTCAGAGGAAGGGAAAATGGTTGGAGAAAGAAGAAGAAAAAGGAAAATCAGACATTCTGATCATGAAGATTATGGTGCACCAGGAAAGGTGAAGGAATATGCAACAATTCAGAAATTTCCTTTGAAGAAACTGGGTCATAAGATCTGGTCAAGAAATGAAGAGGATGAAGATGATTGGCTGACTGCTGGAACACCTGAGAAAACTAAAGGTTAAAAGTCTCACCTTTTATGAATGTCATAAAATATGTATGGTTTCCATGTGTCATTAGATTCCTTTTCCATAAAATTGAGGCAAATTTTTAGGGGCAGAATTTATTGGGTCACTTGCTATGAGCTCAGTGCAACCAATATTGACTAATGAAATTGATATCTTAATTTTAAAGAGGAATTCAGGTAATGAAAAAAGGTTTGACTTTCTTTTGAGAGCATTCTTGAAAGGAGTAATTGCTGTTAATGGTTATTTTATTGTATTTACATTTTCAGGAAGTACAGGAAAGAGATCCACCATCCTCCAAATGTCCATAGGAACATCATCCTCTGCACATCAACCAAACCCCTCTAAATCAACCAGACACCCTATAATTCCTGCATCAAGGAAACATTCAGGTACCATCCCTTCACAAAGGTCCTGTCATTATCAGAATTATGCAGTACTTTGGAATTTGAGCAATAATTGTCTTCTTTTCCCCTAATTAACCTATTTAATCTTAAATTTCATGTTGTTGTTGAAAATATTTGTTTCTATGTATGCAATAACACATAACTATAAATGGGGCACATAATTATTAAGTGAATGCTTAGCAATTTCCTGATTAATGATGACTCAAAGAATTTGAGCTTCAAAGATCTATGAATGACATATTGGACAGGCAAGATTCCCATTTGCAGTTTAGTGCTCTCCTTTGATTGCCACTATGAGGAAACCCACTACAGGAATTTGGCATATTATCCACCTTTAGGTATCCCTGACAAGCCCCAAGTGAGGAGTCTTGGACAAGGCCAGAGCAAAGGAGTCAATATTCCCTTGAGAGAACATTCAGAATTAGAAAATGTGCCTTACTCGGGTAGGCTTGGCCAGAGGTTTTAATCATTTGAGTCTGAAAAATGTCATTCATTTGATTGATTTCATATATTTCTTCAGTCTTCAAGGAGTTTGCTGAGCAGACCATTCACCTCTTGGCTAGCATTAAGCAAGAGGTACGGCAGCAATCTGTCCTGATGAGGGAAATCAGGCTTGGAACTCTTGCTGTTCCCATTTCAGTCCCAAAACTGCACATGGGAATCAAATTTCCTGTTGGTTCATTTGAAGAGCTGAAGGAGTTGGAAGACACAATGAGCCAAGAAGAGCGTGAATCCCTGGTACTGAATCAAACATTTTATCAGTTTCCAACATCCCCTGGAGCTACTGTTCTGGGTCCAATGGACCCTGATTCTTTTTTTAAATTTAGCCCTCGGTTAGCATCATAAACTTGTAAAGGCCCATACTCCATGTACTTTCATGAAGTCATGTCATAGTAATATAAATTCAAGTATTTTGAATAGATTCTTTGGGAATGTAGAGATGAAATAGAATTAAACATATGACTTTCTGGGTTTTGGTGGTTTCAATGTTAATGGGTTTTTAATTTTTGCATCACTTCTAATAAGTACATGTATTTCAATTTTGCAGCATTTTAAGTGTGACTAGTGTAATCTGTCATAGTGTCAAGTATCAAACATTTACATGAGCATATTCACTCCATTTTCAAAGATTTCACATATCTGCTGAAGTCTCTCAGTCTCTTATGATATTAATGTCTCTTTTTGTTCTGCAGATTGCATATCTCTCAATCTTTGGGGGATGTGACATTGGTCAGGCAACAAGGAATGTCATGGCTGCTTTGATGACAGATTCATGTGTATCAACCATGTCTCTGAAAGGAATGAGGAAGAAACGATCCTTCAGGTCAACATGCTTCTTTGACATTGTCTATGGTGAGAGTAATCATTGAAACATTTGAAATCTGCTTCAAGGCTGCATTAATGCTTATGTAACAATGTGCTTTTCTTCCCTCATCACAGAAGCTTTGTACAGAATGCCCATTGGTGGGGTGCAATATACTGTCACAAGAAGTGATTTGGAAACCAGGATTGACAATTTCTTGAAACATGCTCCAACAAGAGAGAAAAGGTTTGTTGTCACCATCTTCTGCTGGGTCTTCATACATGATTGTAATGCATATATTATCATTTCAGGAAAACATTGTGGGCTTGTAAAATGGACTAAATTGTGTACATTGAGTTTATTTGCACTGTTAGTTTGTATATTCTAGGAGAACCTCATGGGGCCAAAACCACATGCCCCTTCCATAATATGAGCTAATGTGCTTTAGTCCTATCACAGGTCCACTGGCAGACAAGTCATGTCTGAGCAGATATTACCAGCAAGTTCAAATTCTTCCTGTAGTACATTAGACTGTCAGGTTGGGCCATTAGGATCCACCTGATCAATGACTATGTATGCCAAAAAATGATCAGCCCAATGGATTCTTGCCCTCATTTACAAACATTGAAGACTCAAGTTGCATGGACCATTACAGCTACTTCATGCTACAAACACATGATTCAATTGGCAGACCTTTCAGGTATTACGAAGCCATTACCACTGGAAGATGCCAGCACCTCCTCTGGAACTAGGCATATCCTGTATGGAAAACCACTTTCTGGTACACTTGTACTGCTGTATGTGGTGTAACCACCATATGTGTACATTTTCCAACATTCCAAAGAATAATTCTAACCCTTAATCCCTGTGCAAGTCATTGTGCAAGAATACTCATTTTGTTTTATCTATACATTCCCAATCCCAGCTCTTTGGTAATTCTTATCAAATGCATCTATAAGGTGTTACATATTCAGAATGTTAAAGTTTCATGTAGACATTGTTAAGGCACTCCTTTTTGACATGAGGTTCCATATACAACTCCCTATACTTTTTTTTAACATGGAACAATATATGAACATATTTTGCTTTGGTGGAGTAACAATTAATTAGTTCAAACTTTGGACACCTTTGGTACATATTTTGCCTCTTTTTCCTATGAAATTTTCCCCTAGAATCTACCTCATCTTTTGTAATATGTAATTGCTCAGAATTGCAACCAGTTCCTTATTTCTGATCAGTCTTAATTCCTTTTCAGGAACTATGGGAAGCCTGATAGAGGGAACTGGGAAGAAGATGAGAAATCAGAAGAGGAAGATGACTGGGAGAGATCTCATCTCTTCAGATTAGTTCTGATTGAATAATAATAAAAAATTCCAGCTCTTTGCTGTGTATATATCTTGTTCACAGACATACGCCACTTCAAGAAAATTCAATTGAATGGAAGGAATGTAAAAATTCAAAAAGGTTGCATTGTGGTTAATTTGCAACCTTAGTGACCCATTTCAACGTTTCTGTGACGTTGTTCTGTAACGTCCGCGCAACGATCTTTTTTGAGACATTGTGTTGTCCCATGGACGTCATAGTGCAACTTTGCAGCAACATTCCAACGTAACAAAACAACGTTCCTGTAACGTTAATTGGACGTCATGTGTTGCTTGGGTAAACACGCCTTGAGGCCCCCACTTTCTATTGTCAAAAAAAAAAATTGAGAGAAAAGACAAAAGGTGCCCTTTATTTATCATAGGGAATCTTGGAGACGTTCTTTTTTGCTTCGTTCGGTTGAGATTTTTTTTTTTTTACTTTATACCTGAACTCCTTGTAAATCTGAACATGGGAAGAACTATTATCCATAATTGCCGAAGTTAAGGGCATGACAACTAATAACTTCGTCCTTGAAAGGCGAGGGGGCATAGTAGAAGTAAGGGTTGCGGAATTCCCAGAATAAAGTTGTGGCTTTAGCAGAAGGGTTGCAGAATTAGCAGAATGCTCATCGGGAAGGATGATCACGACAAAATTGAACCCTGTAAATTCTAATGAGAGAAATCCTTCCGTGCTTCGAGTCATCTGATTTGTCTTTTCCTCACGTTTCATTGAAGGTACAATACAACAGAGGCATGTGTACACATACGCCGTCAGCTTCAGTGAAACAAGGGAACAAATAGTAGATATCCAAAGTCATTGTGGAATTCACAGATTTGTCCTATACTGAATATTAGTGTAAATGGACTTACCATAACAAGTGAGGCAACGTTCATTGTTCAGATGAAATCTTGAAATGGTCATGTCAAAATCAGCTATGACCTACAGAAATAGCACGTCAACCTTGATTCATATGATTTGAGACAAGCATCTCAAACAGATTTAGACTTCTCATCTAATATTAGATAGGTCACAGGCCACAAACTCAAATATTCATGTTTAGCTTTATTCTTAGCTCATCTATATACAGCATTTGGAAAAAGGTAGATCAAGGCACTGCACACAAGATGATAAAGTTTAGTTGATGGATACAGGATAAGCAGGATGTTTTCAGATTTTCAAAATGATTAAATCATCACATTGACCATTGACCTGCCTAACTTAAAATCAAGGTAGCGATGCAAAAATGCCAGGTGATAGTGGTTCCAAGGAGACAGTGGGAAAATCTTACATACATGGACAGATACAAAATATGACCTATTGATATTAAATACGGAAAGACTGGGCTTCAGACTCAGTATCAGTGGGTACCACAGTGAAAGGTGAGACCAGTGTGCAAGGAGAAAACTCGTTACTTCTACCCTCTCTTCCTACTATTTAGGTCATATCTATTTCAGTTCTTCGGTCTTTGGTATAATTTACACAAAAATGTATCATAAGTCAAAAGAAGGAGTATTTCAATGTCATTATCAGGAGTACTTCAATGTCATTATCTAAAAGGCAAGGCTTCACATTCTTCCCTTGAAGACAAGGTCAAAAACGACCAGGCTCTTGCCACTGGTCACTGTGGAATCTGATTGAATTTAGTCATAGTGTGCATAGCAGAGTTCCATCAGTGCTGCTAAAAAATTAAGGGAAAAGTAAAAAAAGCCATGGATTTCGGGCTATTGAGCCCTGATTCTCATTGGAATCAGAACATACATGTATGATATCTGGATCACCATGAAAGGAAAATTGAGGTCAATTTTCTCCAAAATCATATAAATACTAAATAAATGCTTAAGAAATTTGTTCTTGACAATTATGACAGAAAGAAAGCTGGCTTGATACCCAAGACAGCCACCAAGAACCAAAATGCAGGGTGCAAAATCACCTAACATAAAACCTCAACTCTGACCATCATTCCCCCCTCCCCCAATGAAAGATAAATGTAAACACTGTTCCTTCTCACATCTCTCCATTTGCTCACATTACCCACCTGCTAATTCTTTAACCTGGGGCCGTATTATATTTATTTCTCAACCCAAGATAGAGGAAATGTATAAATGTAAAGAATTTGTCTTAGTTAAGCATGTCGCTCAAGTTGGAATTCTACAGTATATCTATCTTAGCAACTTGCTGAACTAAGTGTGTTCCTTAGACAAAGCAAGGGGCTTAAGATGTGACCATTCCATCTTACTTTATGTCATTCCTTTTAATGCCATCCAGTGCTGCTTCCGGGAACGTTCTAGGGAAACATCAGGAAAAGGGTTCCTTTAAAGAATATTTTGTCGATGGAAGGATGAGACTCATCAACCTGATCCATTTAAATGCACTTTCTTCTTTTTTTTTCTGCAAAACATCAAAGCAGAACCAGTTTGAATCACAGGAAGGATGAAAATGTGGTTCTATGACACCTCCACAAGGCCATTCAACAAAATTCTAACTATAGGGCAGTGGGAAATTCCCCACAACACGACATTCAAACTTGAATCACTGTTTAGTTGGACTGTTTCTGAGGATGAAATTATATGGAGAAAAACCTCTTCTGCACCCCAACAACTTGGCTTGACATTGGCTTGACAATGGTTTATCACTGTGAGAAACACCTAAGAGTTCCTTCTTTTGTAGTCCACATTTCATTGTCATAGATTGTCATGACTTCTTAGAATTGTAGAATCCTCTCAAGTCAAGGAAGATTGAGTAGTGAGGAAACTCAAGTAGAAATTCCCCTTTTTATAAGATATATCGGCAGGTCAAAATGATGTGCCGTATCCATGGAGGGATAAAAAAATATATATATAAAAAAAGTTTTGAGGAATGAAATGAACCCCCTCAGCTTTATCATGTGCGTTTGTGTAACTGATTCCCATTCTCTTTGAAACTGGGGCAATGAGCATCCTGAAGGGCTTAGTTCTTTTTGTCCATCCTCATCATGATATTGCGATTGTACCCAATGGCTAATTGTTGAAATCTTTTCAATTGAGTTGAGGAACCATATCACCATAGTGCATGCACTGGTTTAGTCAAGAAAATGCTTTGGCATGATAATTTTTCTTTTCTTCAAAATGGACTAATTGGGTAAATTGGGCTAAATAGAATTTTCGAAGAAGTTTGATTCTTAAAGTCACAAACCTTGTGGATTCACTATTTAAAGTGAAGTTCTGTTCTGAGAAACTCTGGGACATGAACTCCCTGGTGTTCAAATTGGCCACATTGTGCTTTCTGAACTTAAGGCAGATATAGAGGTGCCTTAATTTAAGACTCTCTGATGGCAGTCTTGAGCAGGAGGCTAAGCATAATATATTAATAGAAACAATGAGAAACTTAAGTGTCATTCTTAGATTCAACTTCTTAAGAAGTTTGCTCAGATTAAGGCAATAAATGTTGCTTAAGCAAGTAATAGAATACAGCCCCTGGTCTTACCCCTTCCTTGTCTCAGGATACATTCCAATACTATAGACAAAACAAGGGAGTGATGGACTAAAAAATATTATGAGATTAATCCTAAAGTCTTCCATCAGTTAATCAAGCAAATTTTAGTCAGTTCATATCTCCCTATCATAATAGCATAAGACATATCTACATCCTAAATAGAATGGCAGTGGACACAGTCATATCATATGATCTTGTCCAATCAATCTGCTCTTTGCATGCAACAGTATACTTAAAGTCCATTCACTTTGAGAAGAGCTAGTCGGCAAACCAGGTTGACAGCAGTGACCTCGGACCTATTAAGTCGTACATTCATTAGGAGATTTCTGACAATTTTTCTTTTCATTCCCTAATGGGGATCATAAATCACTTGTTGATGTCTCATGTCAGGCCTGTGCAAAAAATCAGAGTTGCCAGAAATGAAGAGAATGCTTCATGCAGGAAAATTCAATTTTATTGGTGCATGTTGCACCGATGTACCTGACAAGGTAACTTGGGAAATGTTAAGTAGAAAAAGTCAACAGCCCCTACATTTCACGTCCTCTCTTTTCTGCATCACAGGTCAGAGAAGAGACAAGAGAGAATATCCCTATTTGACATCTCCGAAATGTCACCCAACAGGGCAGGTCGAGAAGGTGCTAATTGCATGCCCTCTTTCCCCTCAGTCACTCATTAATCACAACAATCGGCCTTTGAGAGATAAGAAACTAGTTCTTCTCAAAGTGAATGGGCTTTATGCATGCAATGCATGAGTGGATTGTGTTCATCAAAGTGACATTATTATTGTATTATGAAGAATTGACATCATAATGCTCACTCTGAGAATTGCATAGAATTCCCCCTTAAAAATAAAACAAAACATGCAACATGACATGTTAACAAAGCCTGGCACACTATATAGGCTTCATATAGCTATTTAGAATTTTACAGAAACTAATTAGGCAGACAGGTTATATGATTGATTTCATGTGAGCTCATTGCATGCACAACATTATGAATTGAGACATATGCACCTAAGACTGACCAGAGTACAAAAGCTAAAGCTGCTTGAAGATACTACAGCCTTCATTTTGGCTTACCTGCAGCTGTTGTAGACCTCCATGGAAGAGTCCCTCAAGGATTTTGTCCAACTTTTCAGGATATCTTATATGAACAGAGGGATGCTGCAAGGAATTCACCTGTGAATAGCAACAAATTCACAAATAAGCCCACATCTAGCCTATCAAAGAACAAACTATGCAAGGCTGATCTCAAATGAGTCAGTATTTGGTGGAATTTCTCTTCTATAGTCACACCCACCAGCATTATTATTATAGCCTGTACACAAGAAAATCAGGCAGAAAAGGGTAAGGTAATCCATACAAGTCTAGAACCAAGCAGTTTGAGCATAACAGTTTATTCAGGGTGGGCCACAAAAAAGGAATACAATTTAAAAATTCATAACTTTTCTATTGCTGCAAATAGAAACAAAGAGTCAACTTCACATTGTCCAGACATTCATTAAGTTTTTGCCTGACTACATAAGATGTTCTATATGTCCACCACTCTCTGCTGTACATTTGCAAATACGCATGTTTTGTTTTTGCATTATCTTCTGAAATGTTTCTTTTCAATGGTGGCAACAGTTTGGATGATGAAATCGGACAGTTGACTCTTTGAGTAGACTCAAATGTGTTGTCAGATATCTTCAATTTGTTCTGGAACCCAAACGGTCACCTTTCTTCCTGAATGTCCTTTATTGGCATTTTGCACTGAACCTATGGTTCTGAACTTCTTTAACAGGTCTTTTATTGCTTTGATACAAGGTACACGAGAGTCCAGAAATCTTCTATGAAAGTTTCTTTGCACCATCTATGGTGACTTTGTTTCAATGTAAGTCTCATAGATAAAAATAGGCTGCTCTATAGTAAATTGCTTCATTGTTCACAAGTATCTGCAAAATGAATTAATGGTTATTCTAATATGTAAAATTTGTATTACATTCATATCTCTTATAGAGCAGATGTTATAAAAGCATAAAATGTGTTCCTTTTTTGTGGCCCACCCTGTATCAGTGAATTCAAACCAAATTCTCAGGGATGTAAGCATCAGAATAGAGGAATGAACACCATTCATGGATAGGAGAGCAATTTACAGTAGGGTGAGGTGGGGTAAAAGTAACCTGAAAACATGTAATTGCATTTTTGCAGGATGATAGAAAAAACACTAGCAAAAATATTGTCACAAAAAATGATTTCTACCCTCTTCAAACATTGAACAAGAGCTAATAATGACTTTTAGAACTTAAATCTGAACTGGATCCTTAGGAAACCTCTTTTTAAAAGCCTTGTTTCATGTTAATTTTTCCCCATGAAATGGAGTAAGAGTAATATACCATGGGGCAAAAGTAACATTGTTGCTGTCTGAAAGCAGTGAGGAGAGAAAAAGGGTGGCTGTAAATGTACCCACATTATGTGGATGACTTGAGGAAATTTTCAGCTAATATGGGGTGAAAATGAAGCAACAGGAACATAATACTGAAACAGCTGCAGCCATTCCCTGCTGAATTTTAAGCCTGCAGGAACTCTCTTTGGAAAAAAAAAAGAAAGAAAGTAAAAATCCTCTCATCCACCCCACTTGCAGTCTTTACTTTTTCGGTATTTTCTATCTCCTCAATTTCCTTCTTCAAAACCAGCTAAGAAATTTGCAATCCTGCTTGCTTTTGAAGGACACCAATAAAATTCATACCTTTCACACCTATCAACAGAGAGAAACCTTAAACTCACAGATCATAACCAAGAGACTTTTCTTGGATTTCTGAATGATGCTTTGATAGGTGCATCTGGATGGTGCTCTCAGGAAAACTATAATAATTTATTGCTATTTTTCTCTTCATTTCATGATTCTTAAGCACTTACAAGATCCCCATGGGAGCAGCATTTCCTTGCACCCCTCCTTAGCTTTCCTTTTGTAAGTGCAAACCATTATGAAGCCTGAAAGAGACCCCATGCACAATACTCAGTGATTCATACACTTCTTAAATATATTTATGTAGCACAGGTAGCAGCACTTAAAATATTGTATATGAAATGTTACTTTTGCCCCATGCTAGGTTGGTACAATTGCCCCATGACCCAACTTTCCATGGAGCTAATGTAACATTGGATTCAACAAATGGTAAGGCTTTCAGTTGCAACTGATATTTAGCACAGAGGCTCATGAGCCTATAAGGCTTTTTTTCCTACCTGAAAAATGGCATGGAACATAGATAGCGGGCACTGTGGTCAACAACAGCACCCTCTAGCAGCACGCAGTGCCATCATGCAGTATGTGAAAGGCCTCTTAAACTCATGAAACTCTCTGTAAAGTATCAGCTGCATCCAACTGTCCCATGAAGAGTTATAGGCAATCAAATTAAAATGGTGACTTTATAATAACCATGTAGTTGGGAAGTTAGCATCTGGGGGTTGGGGGCCATGTTATGCCCCCATGACCAAATTAAAATTCACTTTTCTCAGCCTCTGCTTGATGTACAGGGATATGTTTTTTGTCTCTTGGCTATTCTCAAAATAATCTGACCATTAGCCAAATTTAATTTAATTCTGAGATGGTTAAGCATAGATCATTACCTCACTTAACCCTTTCAGACCTGGCATCCATTCCAATGGACATTGCATTTTCATTGAGTACACTTTGATTTTCTGATGAAATGTAAAACATGAAAATCCAGACACAAAAAACTTTTCCAGGTTTGCTCTGCCCACATGGACATTCCATGTATGACAAGGTGTATGTTTCCATATGGTCATATATCAATAGGCACAATAGTGCGATACTACCTTTCTTCAACCCCTTCCAGTAACAAAATTCAACCTCTTTGTATTCCTCTCTAAGAGCATCAACAGGAACAAAACTGGCATGTTTCTTTCTTAACAAAGAATTGCTTCAGCAATGTTCCATCTCCCCAGGGTTGTGGAAAACACTGAATCTCACATTTTAAAGATGTGAACTTCATTCCAGTTTTTTTTATGGATGCAAATAGGGATTTGTCTTAGCACATAGTAATCAGTGAAATAAAAATTCCCAGCAATCGCTTCTTGATAAGAGTTCTGTATGAATCCACATGCATTGAAATACTAACACTGGTCTGGCTCTCAGTCATTACTTATTAAATAACTCACCTTTGGTTATATTAACCATCCAGGGTGCTCATGTAGCAGTGTTATTTCAATATTGTTTTGTATAGAATATAAACAGACATAATGATCAAATGGCACTGATGTTTGTACACTAGTGGCATCTCATAAAAATGTTGGATGCACTAGAATTAATTTATTAATTCATCAATACACTTTTTAGTCATTTCATGCCCAATGGGCATATACATGAAGATTTCTCACTCAATTCATTAGCTGACCAATGTTGCTGCAATTAGCACATGGAATAATTAAGCATCTTTGCTTTTTTACCTACTCTTCTTTCACTTAGAATTTGTACCATCTTCTGCTCAACTTTAATGATGCTCTGAACATCAAGAATATGGGACCATTGCATTAACGTTGTCACATGTTAAAAGTGAATCACCGCTTCAGTAGCAAGCAGTAGAGCCACTGAAGAAATTAAGTTGGAATGACATTACCCTACTTCTTGAAGGTACTTTTAAAAATCACTGCCCAAACATAATCCTGCAAATAATGGCTGTAATGGGAAAGAGTTCAATTCATCACTCCCTCATCAATACCATTCCCTTGGAGTTATTAACTATGGTCTATGAACTAAAGAAAATGAGTAGGGCTGTACCAATACAAAAATTTGGCCAATTTGCAAATTCCTGATCCCTGTTCTTGAAAGATGACTGATACCAATCTTTGTGCATGCCTTTAGAATAATTCCTAGGAGATAGGTCCTTTTCACAGAGTTAGTGTAATCAAAATGACTTTAAATTGAATTAGGAGCATCAGTTTTACATTGAGCAAGAAGTGAAAAACCTTTACAATAACCTTTTATTCTTGAAATTGGATTTTCCAAAAACACCAAATATTACAAGAAATAGTGCTCCATACCACAGGAAAGCAAGTAATAAATATTAGATTCTGTTTGCACCAAAGGTGTTACATATCGTACGGAAGAGATTTATATCCATTCTGGTTTGGGGCAACTGATTTTGCATTTTAATGACTACAATTGGAAAAAGACAAGATAGCAAAGATCTAGGTTAGGATAGGCCATATGGAGTACGCATCACAAGCCTGTGAAGTCATACCTTTCTTTTATACTAGCCTGGTGAGCCCCATTCAGGACAACGAACTATGTTCGACCCCTGACGAATTAACTTTAGGACCCAGTGAGGTCATAAAGGAAATGAGTCATGCCCTTGGGCTATAGTACCTGTATATAGACGCATTATGCGAAGGTCCATCCTTCCCCCTTGCTCATCCATAGCCCAGGGGCAAGACCCACATTCCCAGGCTTCTCCTTCCACCACAGAGTCATTTCTTCAGGGGGTCGAACAAAGTTTGCAGCGCTGAATGAGCTCGCCAGGCTAATACCGGGTGAGGCAAAATACGCGCCGTTCTTCGAGATTCTTTCAAGTTCAAGATGCAGCAAGATGCTGATAGCACGGCAAGAAAATTTTTTGCAACGACTTCTACGTATATTTTAAAAGTAATAAAATTCCTGTTCGTTCTTCTCCAGCCGGCGCACAGGAGCGAAAACGCGAAGGCAACTCGGATTTTATTTTTGCACGCGGAAACGTATCGGCGGAAGAGTTAGTTGGCACGTGTGGGGAGCACTAATCTCAGGCCAGAGCTCCCCCGTCTGCCCATAAAAATGCTGCTCTCTGCGAAAGGACAGGGTGGGGCAGATTTTTGCAAGAATTTCCTGTTAAGAATGAAGTAAATGTATGCATATAGTTAAGTTTGATTCACAAGCTACGAGAAACTGGTTTTATCCGAGAGGACGCGAAGGAGTGGAAGACTAAAACAGGCAGGAACTAAAGATAATAATTCTGGGATATAAAATTCCTATCTACCGGGTGCGACAGCCTACTTGGGACATTTTCTTTACCGCAAATTTTGAGCTTTCGGCTGGCAATAACTATTTGAAAATTGTCGACAGTGGCCCAGGACTCCGCTAAATAACCCTGCTACTTAAAGGTGAAATACCCATAGCTTCGGATGGACTGAACTGTTCAATTATG